TGATAGTTTCTAGCGCCTGTAGTTTATAGTTTTTATTTCTATCCAAATTTCAAATGCGCGATTGTCATCCCACTAAGCAGCAGCAGCAGTAGCAGCAGTTTCCGCTTTAGTCTTTCTGTGTTTTCTATTTGCTAAAGTAAAAACAATGAACCAAACTTCTCAATGAACCTTTCGTTAAATTTCGTAATACTAAATTTTTAATTTTTTTATCTAATTTAAGTTCGTATTCTAGCCAAGAACAAAATAAATAATTTTAATAGTTGCGTTGTTGGTGAGAACAATTCATGCCAATTTAATTGCACTTTTCTTTTTATTAGAAATTTAAACATTTGAAGTTGCAGGTGTATTGATAAATTGTAGTCCATAGTCTCTAAAATACCAGTAAACAAATGCTGCAACGGCCTTTGCAAATAATTTGATTTATTCTTGCTGTTGGGGAAGAAAATACAAGTTTCTTTTTGATTGACAAGGTGTGTTTTTTTTTAAAAGATTTTAGCAAACAGTGATCAGTCAGTCAGACAGCACATAATAGTGAACCGATAATTTATTATTTACTACCTCCAAATTAAACAAGAATTGTGAATTTTAGATGGAAATTAACCTTTAAAAACTTTTCTTATTACTCTGCTGTTTCCAGTTTTCATCGCCTTTAGATAGTGCTATTTAGAATGTACAGAAGTTTCAGGTACTGTACAGAAGCCTGTCTTCCTTACGATTCTGCTGCATAATTCCCATACACTTGTGATGTAATAATCCACAAAGGTGGGAAGTGGGTTGTTCAACCCATTAACGATTCGTAGCCAATCACAGAAGTAATTGATTTTACGTACTTTGTGAGTCCTTCTCTCTGTAAGAGCGCCATGATGTTTTTTTTTAAACAACACTTATTGAATGAACCATTTAGGTTTAGATGTAATTGTAATAGACGTTTTAACTGGTACTGGTCTTCTTTCAGCTTTCCGGCATCTGAGGTTGAGGATGAAGAGATTCGACGGCAAAGTTGCTCTTGTGACAGGCAAGTTCAAAAAAAGAATTTTTCACTTAACGAGGTTGTGGTTTTGGTAGCCAAATCCCCGGTGAGAATTTCTATATAAACACTGTCTAACAGTGTACATTTCCTGTCGTGAGCCGCTTCCACAACCGTAGGTTTTCCTCTCAGTTTGGGAAATTGCGTTAAAAAGCGTGTTGAAAAAAAGAAAAGTGGTGATGTTTTTAAGTTATAGAAGCACGCACTTCAAATTTTTTTTCGTTCAGTGATAGGTGTTATTTTCATGACTTTTCTTTTTCATTATTTTTACTTTCCATCGGAAATTCCAACAAAATTATCTAGATAATTTTATTTTAAGCAGCTGTTTAACACGATTATTGAACGTTTTAGGTTCGAGCAATGGCATTGGCCGGGCAACGGCAATAATATTTGCCAGGGAAGGTGCTAAAGTTACCATTACTGGACGAAAGCCCGATGCTTTGAGAGTAAGTTGGAGCTGTGTTTTAGTGTAAGTATACGATTAACGATTTTTTCATTCTGGCTACAAAAACATGTAAAGCTTGTTTTCTGAATAGCTTTTTAAAACTTTACACGTCTTACATCCATTTTTTGATGCTATTAGCGTCTGTTTTCTGAAACACATTTTTTCAGGTTACTAAAGCAGAATGCTTAAAAGCCGGCGCCAAAGAGAGTGACATATTGGACTTAATCGGCGATATTACTACTGAGGAAGTTCAAGATCGGCTAATCAACGAAACGATCAAGAAGTTTGACAAACTTGATATACTTGTCAGTAATTTTCAGTAATAAAAGTCACTTGTGTCAGGTCAGGTCAACTCTGAGATTTTGAAATCTTCTAGATAAACAATCATGGCGGTGATATGAAACAACAGGACGATGATGGCAACATCTTAATCGGGAAATACGACAGTTTAATACATTTAAATTCAAAAAGGTAGCAGCATTCCAGTGCTTAATTGCTTATTGAACGATGCTTTTCCTGCAGCACAACAGGAGGAGTCGTATTGCCGTTAAATTTGTTTTACTGACCGCTTTATATATTCCCAGTACAAATATAACAGTGCCTTACGGTTCTACAGTTAACTGTGTTGTAAGTGCACCGTAAAATGCCTGATTTAAAAGTAGCCAAATGTTTGCGGACTAAGAGATTGAATAATTTCAGTCTCCTCTTCCAAACGATTTCACCAAACTGTTCAAAAGTTAGTGGTTTTGAAATAGTGATGATGGTCAATGAGATTTCAGCCCCTTTTATATGGCCGTAAAATCGATACCGCATCTGAAAAAGACAAAAGGATGCATTGTCAATGTCGGCAGTGGTGCATCCATAATGCCAGTTAGTTTTTTGCTATTATCTGTCTAGATCTTCTTTTAATTTTTCAAAATACCACGGCTAATGTCATTGGCAACAAACACTGTTTTTGAAAGTAGCGTACAAGCTCAAAGTTATAGAATATAATATCATAGATTTAGACATGTCCATTCCCCATGTATGCAATGGCAAAAGCGTCGCTGGATCATATGACTCGTTTGTTGGCAGCTAAATATGCGAAAGACGGTATCCGAGTAAACAGTGTAAAGTTGGGATTTTATATTTAATTTGTCAAGTGACTCAAACGGCTTAGGAATTGGCTTAAAATCGCTTATTTTTAGTCCGGGCGGCACAATCACTGCATTTATGGATAACATGGGCTACGCCCCTGAAGTGCAGCAAAAAGTTTGCTTTAGTGTCTTTGGGCTGAGTTTCAGTAGAATTCTTGCTAACTTAACAAATTTTACTTTTAAATCAACTGAAAAGCCAGAAGAATCCTACATCTTTGACGCTTTATTAAATTTATTACAATGCAGATGAGGGCAGCAGTTTCTAAGTCTGTAATTCCATTCGGTCGGTACGCAGAAGCAGATGAAATAGCTAAATCAATTGTTTTTTTGGCGGATAATGATAGTTCGAGCTATACAACTGGGCAGTTACTCTTCGTGGATGGAGGTATGACGCTTACTGCTGGTAATTTGGATGCATGTGAATTTGCAACGTTGCGTCAGCAAACCAGTAAATAAATGATTTTTTTTGTGACGTTGCACGATGAAACATCCATCATAGTGAAATGTTCGTTATTCTAAGAAATACAAAACGTACTCTGCATTCCTTTATTGGTTTAACTTAGCCGGTAATTTTAAGGGGTTTTTTTCTATTTTAACACTTGTTTTTTTATGTTGCTGATTTCTTTGGCTCATACACCGTTACCTTTTGTTTGTTCTGATTGATACGAATTTCTTGTCGATTGCTGCTGTAGTAAATAAAAACGTATTTCGGTTTTTAGTTTTAGCATTTTATTTTTTTTGTTTTCCGTATATTCTTACTTTTAAACCACCTTCAGTGACGAGGACGGGTTCTGCAAAGGAAACCATCTGATGTTCTTCATTAGTTAATAAGTATTCACCTGTTTGAAAGAGTAACCAATAAACGTTTTTACCGTGTTTGATGACCTGTTGGTATTTTCTCGTCACTTACTGACAAATTATAAAAGCATACCTCGCACACGCTGCGTATTTGGAGATAACGTAGTGTTTTTGGTTTCCCACCTGGTGACTAATATTTAGAGGGTTTTGTAGAAGTTTGCCGTATTCGTTCTGAGTGTTAAAAGCCGTGTGGTTTGCTGTTCAAATTGGATATTGCTTAAGGATCTCACGTTTTTTGCTGAAAATGAAATTTTGTTGGTGTTTATCGGAAGTGATTGGTGAAGCATAAGTGACTGTAGTGGAAGTGAATATCAGGGGATTTTAAAAAACCATGGACTGGGAAATTTTTCCTGCTTTTATAGGAAGCTATTAGATGTTTCGGGCAAGAGGCCTATTCTTTGAAAAACGTGTCGTGTGGTGAATAAACTTAGTTGCTGATTAAATAAAACACTTTTTCATTGTTGAAGCTGCGAAAAAGTATCCAAATGAGTTTTGGTTGTTAAAGAAGTGGAAATTTTTGATACTAAACATTATATGGAATGTCAGGAAAAAAAAATTTTTTCTAGAAAGAAACGTAGAACAACAATTGTTT